AAATTATTCCTGACACTGAAATAATGAGTGGGTGCAGACAAGGAAGCATTGGGTGGGGGGAAACAGAACAAGCAAACCAATCAGCCAACCCCAACAACACCCAGAGCTGTCTGGGCACTGGAACAGGGTTAGGTTGGATATGAGGACAAGGTTCTCCCCACAGAACTGTTTGGGCACTGAACAGGGTTAGGTCAATATCGGGACAAGGTTCTTCCCCCAGAGCTGTTTGGGCACTGAACAGGATTAGGTTGATATCAGCACAAGGTTCTCCCCTCAGAAGGTGTCTGGGCACTGAACAGCTCCCCAGGGCAGTGATCACAGCCCCAGTCCTGCCAGAGCTCCAGAAGTGTTTGGCCAGTGCTCTCACAGGCACATCATGGATTGCTGGGGTGTCCTGGGCAGGATCAGGAGCTGGACTCAATCCTTGTGGGTCCTAAGTTGTTCTCGTAGTTTCTCTCCCCAAAACACTCATGTTTGGCTGACTCAGGAACTAGTTTGCAGCAAAATTGCACAAATGAGGCTTGTTTTGTTCTTCAAGCTTCCCAACATATCCCTCAGGATATCCTGTCCTCTTGGAATTCTCACTGAAGAGTGACCAGAGGCAGCACAGAGTCACACTAGGTACCTTGGCACCCCAAGGATGGCAGATAAAACAGAGAAGGTGTTTCCAGATATGGTCCCCAAATGTTCCCCAAAACCCACCTCTGGCACAGGCATGTGATATTCTGCCACAGACAGGGGATTTTAGAGTGAACCATCAAAATGCTTCCTAAGTAAAGTCAGAAAAATCCCAGAGATCATTGGAGCAAAGACTTCCCCAGTGAGGAAAGGCACTGATGTGTCCTTTGGCAATGTGGTCGTCTCACATTGCCTCCACGGCAAGACATCCTGCAGACAACTCACAGGAGCCTCTGGCCAGGCAGATCCCACATCAAACAGAGAAATCTTTCACTCTTTTTTATTGGTAAAAAAGTGTTTTTGCACCTTCTCAGGGGATTAAAAAACCTGCACCTTGCCACCAGGCTCCACATCCACCCACAACCCAGCAGTCACTGGAGCCCATGGAATCAGCTCAGGTTGTCAAATGATTCTGAAGAAGTATTTTAAGTACACCAGTTTTATTCAGATAAAACTTCTGTGCAATTTCAATCAAAAAAGAGCTACAATTGTTTTTTAAGCAGTAATGTGGATATTCAAAGCCATGTGCTCAAAGATATCCCAAAGCTCCCCTACTGCTCCCCTATTTTAAGCTGTATTCAAGAAGGAATATGTGGAAGGAAAATGATCACTCTTCACACCTCAAGGTTTTGACTTGCAAGCAGAATTTTTCAGACCTGCATGGGAGAGAAGAGATTGACATCAGTCAGTCTGGTCACACCTTCAACTGAGATTAATTTAGGAGTGAGGAATGGTTTCCACAAGGGCACTCTGACTGCGGTGTCCCAGCTGCTGGCACAGACCAGGCTTTCCTGGCCCCTCCTTGGTGGGGTTCAAAGTTCAACAGGGCAAGAGGATCTTTGTTCTCCATCCCAGGCAGTACATCCTGCTCCCAACTCCTCCACCCCAGCTCAGCAAACCCTAGTCCCCAGACTTTGGTGAAATCACTCATGTCCCACCTCCAGCCAAGCTTGGCATCCCTTACCATCAGGCTGACATCCCACTGACCAAAGCCACAGTGCCATGTGGGCACAGTGTGTCCCCAGGCCCTGCCCTGGGGACAGGTTCCTGTCCCTGCTGCCCAAAAGTGAGTGATGAGCCAGAGTAGTGGCTGTATAGAACTTCTCAGAGCTCCATTCCCACAAGCACAGGGGCATTTCGAGGGAGGTCCTACCAAGGCTTGTCCTGGGCACAGTTAATCATTATCCAGCCTTTACCAGGGCACATAATTCAGGTGTTTCAACCAGCATTTTATCAGCTAGGCCACTATCTTCAGTTTTATTTCCCTATCTAAGGTTAAACTAGAATTTCCTCATTGCTAAATCCAGATCGGTTTGAAGAACATGGAGCCCTCAGACTCCACCAAATAAACCCAAAACTGCTTGTGGTTTGTGCCCCATGAATCCCACGTGACACTGCCAGCCTGATGCAGGGTTAGCCAGCCTCTCTCCACACAGGGCAAGGGGATCTCCAAGTATGGCAATTTTTTCCTCCCCTGACAGGAAACAGCACTGTGAGGCCTGAAGAAGCATTAGGAGATGTGTGATGATTCTGGCACACATAGCAATGCTAAAGATTTTCTCCAAGGGTCTCCTTTCTTTGGAGCAAAGGACTCTTGTAGGCAAGGAA